AAAATATCGAGGTCGCCAGCCCCCAGAGGTCATGGCAAAGGCAGATACTGTGGGGCAGGGCCAGCTTGCCACGGGGACGGTGCCCACATTTCTCCCCCCGAACCCCCAGATCACCGCCGACCTGCTGTCCAATGGCATCGATGTGTACCCCCAGAAGGAGTTTGACGAGGACGCGGAGGACCGGCTGGTGAACGAGAAGTTCCGAGTGAGTGAGGGCCCCGGATGCTGTGCCCGCGGAGGGTGTGGGCGGGCCTCCTGCCCATCCCGGTCTAAGGAAAACGGGGGCGGGGTGGCCTTGAGCCCTGAGAACGCCCTCGCTGGAGCCCAAGTGTCCACAGCGGCCCCAGCTCAGGCAGCTCCTCCCAGGCCCACGTGTGACCATGCCCTGCCCTCCCCAGGAGATGATCCCGTTCGCCGTGGTGGGCAGTGACCACGAGTACCAAGTGAACGGGAAGAGGATCCTCGGCAGGAAGACCAAATGGGGCACCATCGAAGGTAGCTGCCCGCTGGCATGGGGGCACCGGACAGATCACAAAGCAACGCCGCCTCTGCCCCCCACCCGCACCCCCAGCTGCCAGCCAGGCCTGAGCTGGGCGCTTGGAACCTCATCCCCTGCATTGCCCCCCAGCCGGCCACCAGGAAGGGCTCACTGGGGAAACGGGGAGCAAGCAGCCATGAGCTGATAGAGCGGGGCCTCCCCCGCCCCCCAGACGGGGAGGGAAGGCCAGGCGTCCAGGGGTCACTGTACAGGGGCATCACTCAGCCCTACAGTGCCCGCCCTGTGGCCGTGGCTGCCCCTCCCCGCAGAGGCCGACAGCCTGCCCGGCTCTGGAATTCACGGGCCACCCGCCCTGGCAGCTGCCGGGAGAGCTGGGAGAAGGGTGCAGAGGCACGTGACCTTTCTAGGTGCCCACGCAGGGGCTGGCGGTGGGTGCAGGCTGGGTGTTTGCCACGTCTGCCCTGCAGGCTGCATCGCCTTCAGCTCCTCCCTGGTCCAGGGGTCTTGACCCTGGAGGTGTCCCGAGGGCCGCTCACCTCCCTGTCCCTCTCAGGCGGCCTCAGGCAGACTTTGCCCTGGGCCTGCCCTGCCCTGGCCCCTCCTCTCTCATCTCCTCTCTTCCTGAGATCTTGCTGTTTAGGGACCTTTTTATGGAGGCGTTTTTGGGGGCTGGGGGCGGGGTACCTCTGAGATAAGACCAGGGCAGGGGGGACGTGGGAGCGGCCGGGAGGGCGGCGCTGTGACTGACCTCTGCTGCCCCCTGGTGGTCGGCTCGGCCCTGCCGGCAGCTGGAGTGGAGAGCGAGGCTGGTTCCCTGCGGGCTCCCTGTGTCCCCGTTCCAGCCGCTGGGCGTTGGTGGTGCCTCCAGCTCGCGCTGAGGGGCCTCGGGAAGCATCCCCGTCCGGGGAACTGTGAGGTGGCAGCGCTGCACCCCACAGCTTCTGGGAGGACCCAGCTTAGAGCCGCCCGCTGTGCTCGTCCTGGGCCAGCGGCTGCGCCCCCATACTGTCCTTTGTCCCCCCACCATCCGGGCATTTACCCTTGAAAAGCGCCCACGTGTGGTCCAGGGGCAGGCGGGTGTGGCGGTTCACAGGTACCTCACTCCCTGAGAGCCGGACGGCGTCCTTATGCCCATTTTCCAGAGGTGGAAACTGAGGGTCAGAGAGGCTTTCTTGCTGTTTCCTAGCCTGGTTCCTGTGCCATCTCCTTGCTCTTCCAGAACCTTCTGGGGAGCAGGAGCCGAGCCAGCCCCGTCACCCGTATCCGCAGCGCTGGGTGCCTGTGAGGTGCCAGTGCTCACCTGTGGAGCAGCGACTCCCTCTCCCCGCCCCCCTGCCCCCACCTGCCCGGGGGTTCCTCTGGGCACTGAGCTGCTGGGGGCGGGGCGGGCAGAGCTGGGAGAGGGGCTTCGGGCGGCGCTAAAGCCCCTCCGTCTTCCCTCTGCATTTGAGAACATCATGCATTGTGAGTTCGCTTACCTGCGGGACCTCCTCATCAGGTGAGACCTGGGGGGGGACCCAAATCGGGGTGTGGGCGGGGGGC